GGAAGGGAGAAAAAAGATTGCCCTCCAACAGAACAAGATCATAGGGACTGGGAACAGACCGCCTTCTCAGTGCACAGCACTATTCAGAGCAGCTTTACTCAGTCCAAAGGCAGAGAATTGCTGGGAGTTCTCCTAAAGGCTCCTGCATATCAAGAGTTAAAGAGGCTCCAGACAACATGCAAGAACTGCTGAGATACACACCCAAAAGTGGATATGAAAGCCGCCTGCTTACTTTGGGCCTGAAACATCTTAAAGATTCATCAGTTCATGGCAGACTATGATGTTATTTTAAAACTATATGCTTTTAAAAACCAGAACTCACAGATAAGCCCAGTGGCTACTCTTCCTCTTTATGACCTGTTGCTTTACGCACATGGAGAAAACGTGCTCAGTGGGAATAAAGAACACAGGGTTTGGCCCTCTGTTATAATAATATCTCAGCCTATTTGGGGCCAAAGCACTATATTCTGTTTTAAAGTTATTCTACATATGTAACAAATATATATTTTTGAATTACAGCCCCTTAGGGAGAAGTAAGGGGAAGCTAGTGGCATACTTTCCTACTTGTGTAAGTCAGGACTAGCGCAAACTAATGCTGGTGGCTTATCGGCAACAAGCTGGAAGGCACATATAATTAAAATAACACTATCTTTGCACACGTGATGATACGTTAACCTCACAGAGTATGTCATGTTGTATTCTTTACTGAATACTGCCCACCTCTTGTGCAGAAAGTCCTTAAACCTTTCAGGTATGAGCCTTCCTGAATGTCTTCGGTATCGGGGACAACATTAGTAAGCAAACAAAACAAAAATAATGGAGAGAAATTAAATCTAGTTTATAATCATAAAAGAAGGGTTTAATTTTAATCTCATTCTACTTTCACATTTCCAAAACGACATTGGCTTGGATTTTGCTGCTCCAGATGTACACTGATATAAACGGGAGAAGAATCAGAGTTACTGTTTCTTTTCAGAGTGATAATGGCTGCTCTAAAAACTAAAATTTCTGACACACATGTATATTGAGTCAGTTCCTCAACCCAAGCACTAAGGAAGAACTATAAAAATATTAAATTACATGAAAACAAACAACTACAGGTTCCCTAAAATGACCTCACATAGACAAAATGAGGAAGTATCTTGGCAAAGCAGAAGCTACTGCTGCTGGAGACTGGTCAAATTTTGTCATTTTCCTTCTGGAGCACGGCTTTAAAAGAACATGTTTTAGTGCACAGATGTTGTACACTGACTTTTAAAATCTGCACTGGCTAATTTTGATACCTAGAGGTACCATTACACAAACTTTGCTGGTTTTTTTTTTTTTTTTTCTCAACATGCAGTCAAAAAAATCTACATCATCAAAATCTGTCCAAAAATTAACAAGGACTTCTGAGCATCCTCAGATTTCAGAAGCTGAGCTCTGCTATACTCTGATACCACATAAACCTGTGTTTGATCTGTGTTTTGACTTTTTTTTCCAATCCAGCAATAGGATGTGTCCTCTTGTAACACAGAACGATATACACAACAAAAGCTTTACATAAATTGATTCATTTAGGGCAATATACCACTTCATTTCTTTATATTCTCACAAATGTAGAGCATACATTTCACATAAGCCTCAAATTACAATGTTTCAAAGGGAGGGGAAGAGGAGCAAACAAACAAAGTTCCATAAAGCCAGTGATATCTGTATATCCGTTCTCAATTTGCTTTAGCACAGAAACAGTGTTACCTTTTATTTCTCCAAAGTTCCCTGATCCCATGGCAAGAAGCTTGTCTTTCCAGTCCTTTGATAGTAGCTTTTCAATACTGGGAGTTTCTGAGTGAAGGGGGGGAAAAAAAATGTAAGCAAATCAACATGACTGTCTCCACAATAGAACTCATTAAAAGTCTATCTGCTAAAAATAAGGCCAACCCTATTCTGGGCCCCAGTTTGTAATGACTTCATCAACAAACTGATAAGAGGGGAGGGAACAAAAAGAAAAAGGAAAAAAAAAAAAAAAGAATGTGTTTTGTCACCTGCTGTTTCAAAACCATTAGCTTTTTCCTCTTATGGAACAAAGCCCCGGTAATTCTGTATGACAATGGGCACATATAAAACTGCAGTCATTGTTTTTCAATTTGGTGAACAAGTTACTGCCTATAATGGATGCCTGTCAATTTCTGGGTCTTAGTCTGCAGTCAAAAAATAATTATGTTGATAAAATGCAGAGTAAAGAGAGAGAGAGAGTGAAAGAGAGAGACAGAGAAGCAAAGAATTAGCTCCTAAATCTGCTACATGTAATTATATCCCTCTGAGTGTTTACAATTACATCCACTTTATAATGTGTGTTTAAACATCGTGTGGTGGTAAGCATACTGTGGAAAGATTTTCCAGTAACATGCACATTATAAATAATAATAAAAAGTTGGGCATGAAAAAAGCTTTAAAAGATTGCAAAATCCAGAGGGAGAAAAGGCATTGCTTAGAATGGAAACCCATTATTTGCTCATTTCAGATTCTATCACTTCCTTTAAAAATAAAAAAATAAAATATATTTGTTCAGTATTTTCAGGAAAAATGCAGTGAGGGTGTGGATGGGTCTGATATTTATGTCTGTAACTCTCGCATTCTGACCTCTTTTTGTGTAGAATTTTAATGCATAAGTAAATATAAATGCTAATAAAATTCAGAGAACATTAAACTCAATTCCAAACAATGTAATTGTATATTCTTGTCAGCATTTAGATGGGTACACAATTACAATAGCTTTCAATCCCACGATTAGCACTGCATTCAGTTAGAAAATGGAGTGTACTAAAAGATAAGTGTCCCAGTATGCGCCATCTAAATAACAATACCCACACTTATTATCTGGATCTAAGACATATACTGCTATTCTCCACATTTGTGTTTATGTGTATTTGTATTTGTTCAGGCATTTGTTTACCCCCTACCAGGAGCATAAAGGGAGTACATGTTAACTTATCAAAGGGACCGTCTGGCCTAGAGACCATACAATTATTAGCAACTGGTTAATTTTCCCCACAGTAAAAGAAAAAAAAAAAACAAAACATTCAACCTTCATTATCTTGTTTGGCTAATTCTGCCTCCTTTCTTGAAGCCCCAACTTGGATCTTGGAGAGAAGCAGCGCTGCGCTGCCTTTGCTTGGGGGGCAGAG